AAACTGTGAATGGAACAATATAAAACCACAACTCACATATTTGAGAATACAACACTCTGACTGTTTGTAATTCCCATCTTATTTTGTGCTGGATTCATGGGACTAGCTGGAGAAGTGACCGATCGCTTCTCCACGGACGAATTGCTGATTCCGCTATCTGTCTGACTTCCTTCACGCTGGAAGCACTCGTGAAGTCGATCGGTCGATTTCCACGATTGTATGGCAGCTTTGTGTGCGGTACTTCCGCTCCCGCGGTGCAAACGATGCAAGTGTCTCGGACCGTCGGTGGCCAGTTTGACAAAATCCGGTGTTTGCACGTTGGCATAACGACGGGGCTGTTCGGTCAAGTTCCGGATATCTTTTGCGTCCTTGAATTCCGGTCCGGGATAAATAGCTGAACCAAAAGGGGAGTGAGCATCATCGGAGATGTAGGGCGAATATTGACGAGAGAGAGAAACAAAAAGGATCAACAGATTTTGAATTGTTTGTTATGGTGAGCAGACTAACTAGGAATAAATAGCTGGATTCTTGATCGCTTCAATAAGCGGAAATCTGTTCCCCGCGCAAAGGTCCGCCGTGTATCATTTTAAAGTGCTGATGAACCCAATACTATGGGATGTTCCAGTGTGGTTAATAGAATGACCTTTTACTTAATTGGCACAATGCTTGACCCGAATACCGATTGAAAGCCAATAAACGATCTGTTTGAGAGAACAAAGTGATTCGGGTCCAACGATACCACGAGCACAAATCTCCCTGCCACAAAGATGTTCTTTATCAAGAGGTACTCAGTCTTGCTTTTCATGTGATGTTACGTGTACTCCACCGCACAGCGTATAGTTTCAAATTAGATATTAATCGGGCTTTCGCGGAGCAAACCTCAGATGAAAACTAGAAAACAACTACCAATGTTGACCGCACTGTTATCCACAGACTTGAATGGCATCTACGGGCAATGTATCTAGGCAGATTCTTGCCTAATCATTGACAAATCTCAGATTAAGGTACAGTTAGCTGAGCGCGGTCAACAATACTCGGATCCGGCTCACATGTTGTGCTCAAATCAAGTGCACTGTCTCTTTTTGTTACACTCTCTCGTTGTTCTCGACCTCGTGTGCTGTTGTTTTCTCAGCTCTCTAACACTGCCCCTCCGAGTGGTAAGACGGTTTCAAGAATCTGTAAAGTGTTGCGGAATTCACAAGCACACACACATATACATACACAAATGAAGATTGCCGAGGACATACCGGTGTCCAAATCCGGTACCTTAATGCGGTGTGCTTACACGAAAAGAACATGTGAATACAAGACCAAATCAGCCTATACTCACTCACACATACTCATTTCGCACCAATACACCCCCTCCGGCTGATACCAACCGACAAACGCCTCTCTGAATACCAGTCAATTGGCCCGATTGGGGACAATCTCATTGGTAAGATGATCCGTTTATGGTAGATCTCTTTTATTCAAGTATACCTTTAACTTAAGTGGTTCCACCATCGTAATGACTATATAGTTGAATTCCCGATGAAGGAAAAATACAAGCAACGGCAGCAATTCGACACGCGACAAGTCGGCAAGTAGGTCGTTCACAANNNNTTCACAATGGAAACGCGAGTTGCGGATTTCCATGAAACAGTCTACACAGGCTTAAGCGTTTGGGGGGCGAAATAATATTCTGAAATCAACCCAGATGAATACATGTGACGAGGGAAGAGGGAAGCTCAAGGTTGCAAGCAAGCCAACACGGCACAGAGTTCGTCCCAGATGGGGACAATGGTAGACTGAACGGAAACCGATCCACTTGTGTTTGTAATGAGGTGAAATAGATTGCGATCGGCACAACTCATTAGGAGAACCCCGGAATATCATATTTCTCTCACATTTAGATTACACAAACACACAACACAGTCTCACGTGAGAAGGAAAATGTTCAGTGGATGAGCACGGCACACGCACACACACGCACACGCACACAACTGTGACTTCACAATTCGCACGATTGCATGATAATGCAGCCAGATGGGTAGAACGCTCAGTTCGCATTTCACACAACTACACACACAC